AAGACAAGCAATTCCCAATAGGAGTCTGATAGATTCCAGTCTGGCTACAGGGGCAAAGGTCTTATCAAAATCAACCTCTTCAACTTGAGTGTATCCTTGGGCAACAAGTCTTGCCTTATTCCTGGTGACAACTCCTTCAGCATCTGATTTGTTCTTGTATATCCATTTTGTGCCAATGATGTTTGTTCCCTCTGGTCTAGGAACTAACTCCCATACTTCATGTTGCTTAAATTGGTTCAATTCATCTTGCATTGCACCAATCCAGTATTCATCAGTTAAGGCCTCCTTAACATTTCTTGGTTCAATTTTAGACACAAAGCAAGAGTTTGAGATGATTTCTCTAGATCTTGTAATGACTCCACTGTTAGGATCTCCTATGATGAGTTCTTTAGGATGATCTTTCTGAATTCTGATGGAAGGGATTTTGCTAGCTTCCTTGGATTCAGAGTCTGCTGCAGTGGTGTTAAGTAGGTCATTCTGTTGAGTTGGAGTCTCAAAGAATGTCTCAACATTACAAGGGACATTTGTTTCCTCATGATAATCATCAACTATGACATTTATTGATTCCATCATGACTTTGGTCCTGGAATTGAATACCCTATAAGCTCTGCTGTTGGTGGAGTATCCTAGAAATATTTCTTCATCACTTTTAGGGTCCAGCTTTCTCCTTTGTTCACGATCTGCCAGAATATAGCATTTGCTACCAAATACATGGAAGTACTTCACAGTTGGCTTTCTTCCTTTCCAGAGTTCATAAATGGTGGATGAGGTTCCCTTTCTCAAAGTGACTCTGTTATGGACATAACAGGCTGTATTCATAGCTTCAGCCCAAAAATGAATAGGAAGTCTTTTGGCATGTATCATTGCTCTGGCAGATTCCTGTATGGTCCTATTTTTCCTTTCTACAACTCCATTTTGTTGAGGAGTTATAGGAGAAGAGAATTCATGACTAATTCCTTCTGAGGAACAGAACTCATTAAACTTACTGTTTTCAAATTCCTTGCCATGATCACTTCTGATTCTGACAATACACCCTTCTTTTTCTCTTTGAATTCTTTTGCACAGTTCTTTAAAAACTTCAAATACATCGGATTTTTCCCTAATGAAGTTAATCCAGGTGAATCTGGAAAAATCATCCACAACAACATAGGCATATCTTTTTCCACCAAGACTTTCCACCTGCATTGGTCCCATCAGATCCATATGTAGAAGTTCTAGAACCTTAGAGGTGGTCAGATGTCTTGACTTTGGATGTGACATCCTAGTCTGCTTACCAACCTGACATTCACCACAAACTCTCCCTTCATCAATTTGCAGTCTTGGAATCCCTCTGACTGCCTCCATGGATATAATCCTTTTCATTCCTCTTAGATGAAGATGGCCAAGTTTTTGGTGCCACAATTTCACCTCATTTTCTTCTTTGGCAATAGAACACACAGTGGAGTAGTTAGTGTTCTCAGGCTCCCACAAGTAACAGTTGTCTTTAGATCTGACTCCTTTCATTACAACTTCTTGTTTCTCATTAGTTACAAGACATTCAGATTTTGAGAAGTTGACCTTGAATCCTAGATCGCATAATTGACTGATACTAATGAGATTAGCAGTCAGGCCTTTTACCAATAATACTTCATTTAGATTTGGAACTCCAGGGCAGTCCAAGTTACCAACTCCTTTGATTTCTCCTCTAGCACCATCTCCAAAGGTCACAAAACTGGTGGTGTGAGGTTTAACATGATTGAGAAGGTTCTTGATTCCAGTCATGTGCTTAGAACACCCACTGTCAAAGTACCAGTCTTCCTTTGCAGAGACTCTAAGGGAAGTGTGGGCTATCAGGGCAGTAGCCTTTTTCTTCCACTGTGGAGTATGTGGTACCTTGTTAGACTTAGGTTTGACACCTGGGTTCTGATTAGGGTATCCATACAATCTGAAGCAGAATGGCTTTATGTGACCAAACCTCCCACAATGATGACATCTCCATCTTTGGTACTTTTTCTTCATATTTCTCTGTTCCCGATGTTGAGTGCTATGTTGTAACATCTGCTTTGACATTTGTTTATCAAGTCTGATCTTCTTGTCTGCACCAGATTTCTTTGCTGCCACAAATCCTAGACCAGACTTGTTTCCCACATTTTGTCCAACCTGAAGGATTTCTTCCAATTTGTCAGTTCCATTTGTCAGCATCTTGACAGATTTGGTCATCTGGTTCAGTTTTGAGTTCAGCATTTGAACTTCCCTTTCTAGATGACTTATAGTTTCAATGTCTGCCCTTTTCTCAGCCTCCAGCTTTATTATGAGTTTAGTTTGTCTCTCATTTTGCTGACAGACTTCAACACTTCTGATACATAATTTCTTGTAGGTATCAGCCAATTCTTCAAATGTCACTTCCTCATCACTAGTGTCACTTTCAGAGGTACAAACACCAGTTAGTGCAGTAACTAGTTTGGCAGATTCTTCTTCAGAGTTACTTTCTGAATCATAGTCAGACCAGGTAACAGACATTCCTTTCTTTTGTTTCTTAAGAAAGGTAGGACATTCAGCTCGAATGTGCCCATATCCTTCACATCCATGGCATTGAATTCCTCTGCTTTGATTTCCCTTCTCTTCAGACTTTGGTCTTCTGCTGGAGTCATAAGATCTGTTAATGTCAGAAGGAATGTTCTTAACATTTGACCTTGACTTTGGATCCATTCTCTTGATGAGTTTGTTGAATTGTCTTCCAAGCATGGCTATAGCTTCTGAAATATTTTCTTCTTCATCCTCCTTGTTTTCATCTTCAGTGTTGGATACAAGTGCTATGCTCTTGTTTTTCTTGTCAACATTGTCACTGATCCTCATCTCAAAGATCTGAAGAGACCCAATGAGTTCATCCACCTTCAACTTGCTGATATGCTGGGCTTCCTCTATAGCAGTTACCTTCATTGCAAATCTTTTAGGCAAGGATCTGAGAATCTTTCTCACCAGTTTTTCTTCTGACATCTTTTCTCCCAATGCTCCTGAGGTGTTGGCAATCTCCAAGATGTTCATGTGAAACTCATGAATGGTTTTATCTTCCATCATCCTTAGGTTCTCAAATTTGGTAGTCAGCATCTGAAGCCTTGACATTTTTACTTTGGATGTGCCCTCATGGGTAGTTTTGAGAGTGTCCCAAACTTCCTTGGCCAGTTCACATTGATGTACTAGTCTGAATATGTTTCTATCAATTCCATTGAACAAGGCATTTAATGCTTTGGAATTACCCAGGGCTAACTCATCTTCTTCTTTGCTCTATTCTTCTTCAGGCTTTAGACTGATTGTCCCATCTTTCTCAGTTATGGTGGGATGGTTCCATCCTTTGTCAGCAGCTCTCCAAGCCTTTTTGTCCAGTGACTTTAAGAAGGCAATCATACGAGGTTTCCAGTAGTCATAATTTGATCCATCCAGAATGAGTGGTCTGTTTCCAAAAACTCCTTCTTTGTCCATAGCGCCAGAAAGTGATATCCATAGATCTCACCCAGTAAGACAGGCAGGGTGCCTGCTCTGATGCCAATTAAAATTCTGGCAGCAGATACTCAATGTCACAGTGAATGTTATGACACCGTATCTGACTTTCTATAAGACAGTAAATAAAAAAAACAGTAAAGAACACAGTCAATTGTTTACCCAGTTCAGTGTGAAACAACACCTACTCTGGGGCTACCAAGCCAGGGAGGAAATCCACTATAAGAGATATTAATTCAGGAATAAACCAACCAGTTTATCTCCTTCACTTAAGACCTACCCAATGCAACTTCAATCTAAGTTCAACTTAAACCTGAGTTCCTACTCACTCCCCCTCAATCACATCAGTGATACTAAACAATTGACTAATGAATTAATGAAGACACTCTTCAGAACATACACTTGATTATGCTTCACAGCTTTTAATCAAGTAACACAACCACTCGTGCTTCAAAGCTTTGAGTGATACATAAACCTAACTTGACCTTGCTTCAAAGCTTTAGTCAAGTGACACAAACACTCTTGCTTCAAAGCTTTGAGTGATACACCACCCTTACAATCAAAACCTACTCCAAGTCACTTATCACAATGATACTTGCTTGGATTACAGTAGTTAAAACTATACAGCCCCTAATTGATCTTCTGTCAAAGAGTTAATTTCCAATCAGCTTTCCTGTTGAATATATATGCAGCTGTTTCTTCAGTTAGGGCTTCCACGAAAAGCTAGGGTTAATTAGGGTTAACCTCAAGACTTGGTCACAAGACTTTATCAACCAGATTAGGGTTGAGCTCAGTTAACCTAAAGTCCACGTGAGATTCTGCTCTGGAATGTATGAACCAAATTCCTGAAAAATCTCAGAATTAACCAAACTGCATAACTGTTAGATCAGTACAGGATGTCTTAACATTTGTTATGACAACAGAAATCCTGTTTACTGATTTTGGTAGAAAGTAATAAATGTGATCATTGCAAAATGCTCAGATACACACTCATAAATAGCAACTTCTGTATGCCATTCTTTTTCTGCATAAAATACCTAATAACCCAGAATGTTATGACATCAGTCATGACATTCACACACCTGATTTTACCAAAAATACACGCCAATAACTAAACACTTACATCATATTTATTTTATTAAATAATCAAAAGTGAATTATTTATTAATATTATAAAAATATTTTTAAAAATTAATTAATTATTTTTTTATGAAAATTGCTATGAAAATGTCACGTAATTATTAAATTGTTATAAGAATGTTATATAAAAATTAAGTTAGAATTATTATTGACAACTTTAAATTTAAATTAAATAAATAAACGTAAACATTTATAAAAACAAAATATATGTCAGAGACATTAAATAACCGTAAACATTATAAGAACAAAAAGATGTCAGAGACACATTTATTTATTATTTCTTATAGAGCCTTTATTATATCTTTCATGTATAGTTGATAAACAATTATGATCAACTGTATATAATAAAATTATGATCAACTGTATATAATAAAATTATGTTTCTAAATCTTCTCGCCATCATGCCCTTGAATGCACCAATAATAACAGGTACATAGGCCCAAATTGCAGGACCCTTCCCCGTTATAATATTTGCACCTTCCAGCACATTCTCCAGCTGCACCACATGCTCCCATAGGTTTTACACATATCTTATCCCAACCACTTTGTTGTAATCCCATGCTCCAAACTTGTTTCATAAAACATATTAGGGTTAATATGAAGTATTTCGAATACAAATAATATTCAAATGTTACATTTTAGTTAGAAAATAAGAATAGAAAAATATATAATATCACAAATTCACAATGAATGATAAACAACAAGATATAAACTTACCAGGTACAATTAATAATAGAATAACAAAAAATAGAGACAAGTTTGAAATGAATTTCACCATTTTCAAAGAATTAAGAAAAAAAAATTGTTTTTTTTCTTTGCTCTTTTCATATGTTTTGTGTGTTATTTATAAACACCATATTTCAGGTAAATAATTCCAATGAAAAAGTATTATCATCTAAATTTTTATAAAATTTTTAGTCAAATAAAATGATATTTTTTCTAATGTATAATATTTTTTATTCAAAAGTATTTAAAGTTATTGTTAATTTATTTGTAATATATGGAAAAAAATAATGAAGTTACTTTTGATCAAATTATTTTAGTTTTTATTAATATCAATACTATTCTTATTTTATTCATGTTTTAATTAAACTTATAATTTATGAATTATATATTTCATTTTTGAATTATGTTGTTTTTTAATATTTTTAAATTATTTAATCTAAAAAAAATTTAGAAAATTGAAAGTAATAATATGTTATTAGTTGAATTTCAAATCATTTTAGATTAAGAGATATGATATAAGTAGAGTTTAATAGATATGTATTGATAGTTTAAAATAGTTTTACACTGTCATTCAATAGAAAATCAATAGTCTATTATGTTATTAAAAAAAATTTAAAATAAAAACGTGAAGACGGGATACATGATCGTCATTAGTTGACAATAGAGATAAAAATATGCTAGGTTATACTATATTTTATGATAAATTTTAAAATATTTGAGTTTGATCTATGATCTATTATATGTATTTTTTTTATTTGACCTAACCTGTTTAAAAGTTTGACTTGACCTGAGAGCCTATTTAAAAGTCTGTATTTATTAAGGTTTTCAATTAATTCATATTACTTCTCTCTGATCTTTAATATAAAAAAAGTTTACTTTTTAAATTTATTCAAGAATCAATGTATTTAGACTACATATGATACACACATTAACTCTTCAATAAATTTAAAAGTGAATATTTTCTTAAATTAAGGACTATATATATATATATATATATATATATATATATATATATATATATATATATATATATATATATATATATATATATATATATATATATATATATATATATATATATATATATATATATATATATATATATATATATATATATATATATATATATATATATATATATATATATATATATATATATATATATATATATATATATATATATATATATATATATATATATATATAGCCCCTATATATATATATATATATGAGAAGAAAGAGTAAAAAAAAGTTAATGTAATAAATGAGGAGAGAGAAGTAAGATTTAGAAGAAAAAAAATAACTTCATCAATGAATCTCAACCATCCAATGTAATCTAAAGGCTAAAAAGAAACCCTCTCACTCTCACATAAGAAAGACTTTCTCATGAGATATGGCCCCTATATATATATATATATATATATATATATATATATATATATATATATATATATATATATATATATATATATATATATATATATATATATATATATATATATATATATATATATATATATATAGGCCTATTACGCATTTTTTATAATATACATGAATATATAGACAAACTTATTTAATATTTTTTCTAATATATATAGGTCGATCATACTTTTTTAATAGTCTAAATCTGATTTATTTAATTAAATAGATTTTTAAAAATAATTAAGTTTAATATTTTTATTAATGAGCAATTTTAAAATAAAAAATTGTCAATAACCTATAATTGTTACAATCCATACAACTATTGTCGAAATTAAAAATTAATATTCTGGACTGGGTCTGCGCTTGGCTCAAACAACATACAAGATTCAATCCAACCATGTTGCAAACGAAAGCCAGCAAGAATGAGGCTGCCATTGACTATGTCGGGCAACGACTCCACCCTTGCACCGAGGACATGCCCCCTGGACCTTCCTCGCCATGGGTTTGTTGAGGAGTGTTAACGGCTCCCGGGAGGTATTGATGGGCACCCTCCTCGTACGACAGACATCCACGTCTCCGAATATCCTAGAGTCATCTTGACCCTGAAAATACCGCAACCACATCCTCCTAATAATTCAGAGCAGTCCACTCAGGAGAGAGACCACGTGCTTGTCTCTACTACTCATGTAGATCCTGACAGTCTTCATTTGGGCTTGCTCTGTCAGCCCAAATGGTATTATTACCTTGGCCCAACATTGGGGACTATAAATATCCTCTCACTTGAAAGGGCCAGGTATTCATTTATTAATCCATACTTTCATATTCTACTTTCACTTACTCTGAACCTTACTTTGGCATCGGAGTGTCTTGCAGGTACTCTCCACTTCACATTCAATCGCTGCCCGACTTGAAGCTTGTGGGTCTTGACGATCTCTTCTGATCAGGTACGATCACTGGCACCGTCTATGGGAACAAGGTTTCCCCGTCTTTCATTCATGTAATACCAGAGCAACACCTTCAACCTTCAGGTTGTCATGGCCGACTAAGCTTTCAACAATGACCAGAATGTTCACTTTGTCGATGCGGGCAACAACAACAATGTTGCTGCCCTCGAGCAAGACACTCGGGACTAGATGACCACATCTTCCTCCATCCACCCGCAACCACGTGACGACACCCACCATCCTTGGTAGAATTACGAGCCAGTCGCGTATCAGGAGATCCCTGTTCCTGAAAATGCTAACACCACGACCAGAGCCTTATTTGCAGGGGTCAACCAGACAAACTATATGATCTTCGTGCAGGGTGAGCGCCTGATAATGCTGGAATAGACTCGTCGATCCCTCAGAAGGCACCGAAGACCTAATTCTCGAACTCCTCCTCCCCAGAACAAGGACCGCTCTCGGTCTCCCCCGCGGAGACACAGATGTGACGACTCTCAAAACCCTTCTCCCCGTCGAACTTGGCGAGGTACTGCATTGGAGAGGACACAACCCGAAGTTGTCAAGAAACACGGTCGTACAGCCCCGCGCAAAGAGAAACGATCCCCTGAACATAAAAGGAACAAGGGCGAGGAAGAGAAGAAGTCCCGTCTGAGGAACCCTTCCCGAGACTAAAACCGACATAAATACCACCACTATCACCAGTCCCCATCTTGCTCCCCGGAAAGAAATGACGAAGACGACCCCCTTGGTCCGCTGTCCCAGGCCATCATGGAGGCCCCTATTCCTAAAGGGATGAAGAAGCCTCCCCTTATGAAGGAATACAACGGTAATGTTGACCCCGCCAACCACATCGACGGCTTCGAAGTCATGCTTCACTATCACAATGTCAGGGGGGGCATTAAGTGTAGGTTGTGCCCCATGATGCTGAGGAAAACGGACATGGACTGGTATAAGAACCTACCCCCCGGGTCGATCACCTCGTATAGGAATTTGAAGAACCAATTTATCAGTAGCTTCATTGTATCTCGTCGACACCCGAAGACTGAGGCCTCCCTCGAGGAAATCGTCTAGAGGAGCAATGAGACCCTCAAAGAATACATCGACCGATTCAACCACAAGGCCATTCAGGTCCCCAACATTGATCACATGAAGAGATACTTTCTCAAGAGGGGACTCCTCCCGGGCATAAAATTTAAAAAGGTCATTGGCATTGACCCCCCAGGTCTTTTGATGCACTCCTCGAAAAAACCTGGGCATACATGGACTACGAGAAAAAAAGAGGCCGCCAACAACGCCCGCAATTTTAGGAACTGCGGACCAACTAACGTCCCACAACATAGTGACATGGGCTCTCTTCGATGAACAAAGGAAAAGAGAAGGGAGGATAAACCTCGCGACCCCCGCGAGCACAGAGGACGGCTTCTCGCGAGCGTATCCTTGCAGAGTGCTCCAATGCTGAGTTCAAGGACGACGGGGTCAGGCGTCCTCAACCTGCCTCTACAAAGCCCGGGGCCGACATAACAAAATACTATCAATACCACCGGAGCCATGATCACCTAACTGAAGACTATGTCCACCTGAAGGATGCCATCGAGACTCTTATCAGGACAGGGAGACTCGGGCAGTAGAAGCAGAACGAAACCCCTCGCCGGGATACCCACGAGGTTAAAGAAATTGAGGAGGATACCTGACCATCCGATGAATCTGGTCCCCTCCAGGTATCCTTCTGCATCTCAAGGCCTGAGGACTTCCACATCCCTGACAGTCTTGAAGATGACGAGCCTTTGTTCATCCACAGCAGATGGGAGAAGTTCCCCTCCGTCACGGTCATATATGGAGGGGATTCACTGATATTTTGGTGAATTCAGCAAAGAGGAAACTTAACGAGCTGGTGGATGCAACCCTGATCCAGGGGGTAACCCTTGAAAGATTCAAGGGAAAATCTAAGCCGATCACCTTCTATCTCGAGGAGCTAACCGACGGATCCCCCAACTCCAACATTCCTCTGTTTGTGAGCGAAAATATGACTAACTTTGATGTACATCGTATCCTGGTTGACAAAGGGAGTTCCGTCGAAGTCATTTACACCCACCCGCTCTACACCCCGCAGCTCGACGATACCCACCTGTCACCGTATATGGGGTTCGACCTGCAAGGATTTAACAGTTCTACCTCAAAGCCATGGGGCTAGGTCGAGTTGTTTGTCACATTATGGGAAGAAACTGCATCCCGATAGGTCAAAGTGTAGTTCCTGGTGATCGATTGCCCGTCTCTCTACAACTGCATCCTGGGGAGACCAACACTGGACAAGTTGATCGCCGTACCCTCCACGATACATTTAAAGATGAAGTTTTACACCAAGAGGGCCCGTGTCACCAACATCAATGGAGACATCTCAGCTGCTAGGAGATGTTTCAACGCGGCTTCCAAATGGCAAAACATGGTCGAAGCTAAGGCATAACCTACTAAAAGAGCAACCACGTCGACAACATCATCTATCTCGGTGGACAAACCTGTTCGAGTCGAAGAACAACAGGCTCAACCAAAGTTCAACTCCATTGCACTCGACACCCGCTTCGACAAAGATGAAGTCGAGGCCCCCAATGGAGAACATAATCCTCTCTGACCCATCCCAGACAAAGACTTCGAGTTCACCCTCCTTGGAGAAGACCCGAACAAATGCGTG